ATATATAACTGAAAATAAAATAAAAACCAAAATTTAACTTTTAATCAAATTCCAAGCATAGTCTTTCCCGTTTGTAATTCATCTATATTATTATTATTGGTAAATTATAAATACACCTCTTGAGGTTTGATTAAAATACAAATCATCGCCTGTAATTTTGAAAATTACATTCCATCGCTTGAGATTTCTAATTTCATAACAAATCATCATTTTTATTAATAAATCTTCAAGCCAATTAATAATTTTTAATGATGTTAAAAATGTGTTTCAATTAATAATTTAGGTAATTTTATTATTATATAGGAGAGTAATTATGAATTTCATTTTTTTAATTAATTCTGTTGAATAAATTTTTTTAGGGCAAATTACATATACACCCCTCGAGGTTTGGTTAAATTACAGATACCTCCCTGAGGTTTCGGAAATTACATCCCGCCCCCTGAGGTTTGTATTTTCATAACAATTTACCCCCTGAGGTTTATATTTCATAACAAATTACCCCCTAATTTCTTATGCAAATATAGCATTCAGGGGGGAATTCGTAATTTCTCAAACCTCAGGGGGGTATTTGTAATTTAGCCAAACCTCGAGGGGTGTATATGTAATATGCCCATTTTTTTAATAAGAAGTATTTATAATTTTTCAAATTATAAAGAGCAATTTATATTATAAGTAAACTTTAGAGATGCATTTGTAATTTAGCTATTATTATTTGGAAAAATGATCCATTGCTCGAAATTGTTGGCTCGAAATTGGCCCGAATACCCAAAACGACGTCGTTTTGGATATATATTTTTTCTTTGTTTCTCTGTGCGTTCAAATACTGAGGGAAGAAAAAAGGGGGAGAGAGAGAGAGAGAGAGAGAAGAGAAGAGAAGGAAGATCGATGATGGCGTGGTGATGGCGGTCGATGATCGGGGGTGATGGCGGTCAGTGAGAATGAAAGGGATTTTTTTTTTTTTTTTTTTTGATGAAGATGATGATATGTTCAAAATCTGAAGCTGTTCAAAAAAAATTTGATCCGGATCTAGATCCCAAAAAAAAATTGGTCAAAAAAAAATGTTGATGATGTTGATCTAGATTTGCAAACCCAGATCTTGTTGATGTTGATGAACAAAAAAAAATTGTTCAGAAAAAAATTTGTTAATGTTAATCAACAATTTTTTTTTTTTTTTTTTTTTAATGTTGATGAACCCAGCAGTGCAACCTCTCCTTCTTCTTCTCTTCTTCTTCTTTTTCATCTTCATCAAAACACGAAGAAAGAGAGAAAAAAAAAATATATATCAAAACAACATCATTTTAGTATCAAACTACTCTCAAACCACGTTCTTTCGAGTTACGAATCAAAACTATATTATTTGACTTCTAGAATCGGAAATCAACTTATGGGGTCCTCCACGTGGGACGTTGAGAATGTAACATGTGATGCTTGATGGGGCCATTCCTTCAACCAGAACGTACTCTCCTCCTGATTGTACTGGTGTCGTAGGGTGTACTGGTTTGAGAACTTTACTTGTTTTTTTTTTAATTTAATTAAAAATATTATGTTTAGAATGATAATTAAAAAAAATTATAATTAATTTAATGATTATAAAAAAAAAAAATAATTATAATTTAAATATAATATTTGATCTTATTAATTAAATTAACTTATTTTGCATTAATAGACAAATTTAACTAAAATAACTCATGTCACATGAAGCCTCAAGCTTATCCATAATAAAGGTGGTGTTCAATATTTTTTTTTTTAAATTATTGAAATTCTATTTTCAGGGTATGTATGATATGAGGTCGAAGAATTATTTTATTTTGATTGTGATAGTATGATTAATAAAATTATTTGTTAAGAAAGATAAATTATTATTTTCAAAGATTTTTATTTTTACACCCAATTGTCTGATTGCGAGTCACTAAAAGAATTGTTGAAACTAGAAAAGTTGTCAGAAGTGGTTGGTGACGATGGCTAACAATGTTTGGTGGTGGTGGTGGTGGTGATGTAGATATATAGATAATACTAGACAGATAAGGAGACATACATGTAACATAGACAAATAAGTAGAATAATGGACAAATAAATAAAGATAATATGATCTTTCAAATTATTATTGTACTTACCCAAAATATTAGAGCGTGGGATGAGATTAATTCTCCAAAAGTTTCAAAATTAGAGCATGGGATGGACTTTTCCCTTAGTTTGAGAATATATTAAAAAAGTTAAAAAGTCAAAGAACTATACAAAAAATCAAATGTTCTATTTTCTCTATACTTTTTATAAAAAAAAAAATTATAAAAAAATAAAATTATTCTAAGCATACTTTTCCACTCGTTAGAAAGGGAAAATGGAAGGGGATCATTCCCAGTTCAAAAAAGAAAAGAAAGAAAAGAAGGGTTCATTCCAAACACAAGGGGGGTTTGGTGATCATACCAATGGCAATGTGGTACAAATATAATTTTATTTACACTTTGTTTCTTTGGGTAAAAAATAATTTTTAAAAAAATAATTTTTAACATTTGATACAATAAAAACGAAAGTTAACATAAAATATTTTTCATAATCAATCAAAAAAAAAATATTACTTTCTTGGGTAAAAAATACGAAAAACATTTAAAAAGAAAATATTTTTTAAACTAAAAGTTTACCGATGGTACTACAATACCACCTCTAACATTACACTTACATTGCCACCGCCTCCCACTCCCACCACCACTAGCTCCATCATCACAATTATCAGCAATCACTGAAGGGGCTAAATATGAAATGGGTCGGGTCCAAGCCTTGGGCCGGCCCAATCTACTGAAGTCCAAATCCAAGTGGGCTAGATGAGTATAAGGGCAAACCAATTGAGCCCAACTTCATGATCAACAGTCCACCCAAGTCCTCAAGCACTTGGGCCCAACCCGCAATGGAAAGGCTAGTCCAGCCGTAGCGCTGGGCTGGGCCGAACTATGAGACTGAACCTATGGGCCAAACAGAAAATAGGCCGAGCTCATACAAAGATATCTAAATAGGATCAGCCCATCTCTATGAATGATCCTGTAAAAGGCCGAGACAAGGCATAATGGTACCGAGCTGAGGCACAATGGTACCGAGCTGAGGAAATCTCGCAAGGAAACATGGAAGTTGTGAATGTGTACATGTGCAAGTTGCCACCTCAGCTGGTCCCCTACACCTAGAATCACGGAAGTTGTTGAATCAAAGGAATGTGGTTTGTAATCAGCATGACTACAATGAGTATATGCATTCAATGACAACTACCAGGTGGTCCCCCACCATGAGTAATGCTAAAAGGACACCTAGAAGCATCCAAACTCCATGAACCCACCTTGAGAAGCAAGCAAGAAACACTATATATACAACATGAACTTCACATTGAAGGTAACTGAACAATTCCAAGCAAAATCACACTTAGATACAAACTTAACTCTCAATACATTTTTTCTCTGATTGCTAATTCCCACACCAGTGGGGTTATCCGTCCAACCCCGGCCGGGCAGCTCTAACGGTGTTTCCTGTGGCAGGAACCTCAGTCCCTGGATAGTCCAACTGAGTGCGGAGCCCCGATCCACTTTCATCTAGTGCGGAATTCGGTACGCACAATTGGTGCGGTGAACGTGGATCATTTCATCTCTGAGCTCTGCACTTAGTTTCGGCAATGGGGATTGAAGACATTCCGCCTTCGACACATACTCCACAGACGGAGAAAACGAAGGACAAAGGATTAGCCCTCCCAACAGTCCCAGAGGAACAAACTGGAAACAATAATCGAACCCCTGAATCCGTCGAGCATCGATTACCCTTCGCTAGAGGCTCTTCTCATCACTTTCTTCTGGAAAAGGATTATAGAGATCGAATCATAGACTCAATAGGGATGGAGATACAAGAGTTGAAAGCCCAACTTAAGAGGGTGCTGGGCGATCCGACGGAAAAGAAGACAAAAACGGAGCCCTCTCGTTTGCGACGGAAGGGCGTATCCAGAGAGCCACCAATGAAGAAGTTCCCCAAGAATGAGTCTGGGCAACAAAGCCAGCCTATCCCGGTATAGAGTGAGGCAACAAGCAGTCACACCCATGGGTCACGCCGGAGAAGGGCCAAGAAGCAGAAGATAGTTAGCCAACAGACTGAATACCCTCCTCAGGACCTTCTTACTTGGTTGATTAGCAATAGGCAGAACGAACAACATTGGGATCACGTAGACCGTACTGTCCACCAGAGAGAACACCGAGCGCTGGACAGGCTCGTCTTTTCGCCATTCTTCCCAGAGATTGAGACCATGAGACCTCCAAAGAAATTCACCCCACCAAAGTTCACATCATACGACGGGAAGTCGGACCCGCTGATACATATTAGCCATTATAGATAGATGATGTCCCTGTGGAATTGAGATGACGCATTGATGTATAAAGTCTTCCCATCCAACTTGGGAGAAACCGGACTTTGATGGTTCGATCGTCTCCCCGCTGGATCGATCGTCTCCCCGTTGGATCGATCCATCGCTGGAAGCAGCTCTCCGAAGAGATCCTAGCCAGGTTCGTCTCCAATATTAAGATTCCGAAGGAGCCGGACACACTGTTTGGTCTTCGAAAGGAGCAGGAGGAAACGCTGCGCAATTATGCTAAGAGATACTGGGAAGAGTACAATGACCTGGAGGAAAATGTGTACAGTGAAAAGATGGCCGTTATGTCCTTCAAACATGGTCTGCGCCCGGAAAGTAAGCTGAGACAATCACTTACCAAGTGCCCGGCCACAGCTTTGAAAGATTTGCGTGCCAGGATTGAGCAGTACGCTCGCCTCGAGGACAATCAGATCCCCATCGAGGAGCGTCAGCAGAACAAACAGCCCGGCACAAAAAGAGAACGGATCGAGGAGAATACCGAGGGATTGTAGTGAATGAAGTGGATAAGTCTAAATCCGACGAAGTCGTTGTGACTGTATTCAAAGAGCCAATCTATCGAATCCTGGAAAAGATCAAGAGAGAGCCCTTCTTTGTTTGGCCGCCGAAAATGTTGGGAGATCTAACTCGGCGCAATCAGAAGCTCAGATGCACTTACCACCAAGACAGGGGGCACATGACTCAGAACTGCAGGGCATTGAAACAACACTTGGAAGATCTAGTGGCAGCCGGGCACCTAAGGGATTACATTGATCAGGATAAGGAAGTGTCCGAACAGGGGAACCCACCACTAGAACCGAATGTTGAGCGCCCACCTCGGTTGATAATAAATGTGATCCACGGGACAGCGACTCAGGAATCTGATAAGGCACTGAAAGAAAAGATCACTAAGGCTGTGCAAATTCAGAGGGTCATGTCAGTGGAGCCTGCATCGAAAAAGGTACGTACAGTACCTAAATCTCCCGTGTGCACTGTTTCATTTACTAGCAAAGATTTAGAAAGCATACAGCACCCACATACTGATGCACTAATTATAACTATGGGAATTGGGAAACGGTTTGATGTAAAACGAGTCTTGGTAGATCAAGGTAGTGCAGCAGATATTTTGTATTACGATTTGTTCAGAAAGCTTGGTCTCTCTGAGCAGTACCTCACCCCAGTGGTACAGTACCTAAATCTCCCTTGTGCACTGTTTCATTTACTAGCAAAGATTTAGAAAGCATACAGTACCCACATACTGATGCACTGATTATAACTGTGGGAATTGGGAAACGATTTGACGTAAAACGAGTCCTAGTAGATCAAGGCAGTGCAACAGACATATTGTATTATGATTTGTTCAGAAAGCTTAGTCTCTCCGAGCAGCACCTCACCCCAGCGGCAGCCCCGTTGGTCGGTTTCAATTCACAGCCAGAATGGCTGCTTGGCAGAATAGTGTTTCCAGTCGTGGCGGGAACAAGAACCCTCAAGATAGAGTTCTTGGTTATTAATACACCATCTCCTTACAATGCCATACTTGGCCGCCCATGGATTCATTAAATGGAGGCAGTCCCTTCAACCTACCACCAGCTCATCTGTTTCCTAAAGGAACACGGAGTAGAGCAGATCTCAAGGGATCAAGTTGTGTCCAAACATTGCTTCATGGCAGCATTAAAGGCAAAGCAGCTCTGTAATCAAGTATAGACGGTAGAAATGGCCGAACAGCTAGTCGTGGAAGATGTAAGGGGAACCCCAGAGGAAAAGATGGTAGAGGATTTGGAGAAAGTCTTGGTAAAAGAGGATGACCCAGAAAAGTACTTCCTTATCGATACCTCGCTAGGCGCTGATGAGAAACTTCAGCTGCTGGAACTGATGAGGGAAAATATGGAGGTATTCGCATGGTCAGCATATGATACTCCGAGGTTGGACCTAGAATTTGCTTGCCACAAGCTCAACATCAACCCTTTAGCTCGACCCATTGTGTAAAAAAGTCAGAGATCCTCAGTCGAGCACACCGAAGCAGTAATTGCAGAAGTCAAAAAACTCCTAGCTTCAAGAGCAATCAGGGAAGTTCAGTACCCACAATGGCTGTCCAACACAGTTGTAGTCAAGAAAAAGAACGAAAAATGGAGAGTTTGCGTTGACTTCACTTGCTTGAACAAAGCCTGCCCTAAAGATAGCTTTCCTCTACCTCACGTTGATCAACTAGTAGACTCAACAGCAGGACATGAGCGCATGAGCTTTTTGGACGCTTATAGCGGTTATCATTAGATACCACTGTTCGGTCCGGATCAAGAAAATACAGCATTTATCACTCCAAGAGGAGCTCACTGCTACAGAGTGATGCCGTTCGGCCTCAAGAACACCGGGGCGACCTACCAGCGGATGGTCACTCGAATGTTCAATGACCAACTGGGAAAAACCATAGAAGCTTATATAGATGATGGTAGTTAAGAGCATGTTCGCTACAGACCATCTTACAGACTTGAGAGAAGTTTTCGGCATCTTAAAAAACCATCAGCTTCGCCTCAATGCCTCGAAATGCGCTTTCGGGGTAGGAACAAAGAAGTTCTTGGGATATATGGTCACTCACAGAGGAATTGAGGCGAATCCGGACCAAATAAAAGAGATACAAGGTCTTGACGTACCAACAAAGGCTAAGGAGCTGCAGAAACTGGCCGGAATGGCAGCCACACTGAATTGGTTCATCAACAAATCTTCAGATCGGATGAAGCCCTTCTTCCAGCTTTTGAAGAAAATGGCAGCATCTGAATGGAGTTCCAAGTGCATCGAAGCACTGCAAAGTCTCAAAAAATACCTCAGTATACCTTCATTTCTGTCCACTCCAGAGCCAGAAGAGGAGTTGTACCTCTATTTAGCAGTCTCAGATCATGCCGTAAGCGCAGTATTAATTCGAGAGGTTAACAAGGAACAGAGGCCTGTATATTACGTTAGCAAGACTTTACTAGATGCCGAGACACGGCATCTACCATTGGAAAAGTTAGCTTATCACCTCGAGTAAGTTACAACATTACTTCCAGGGGCATACCATCAATGTCCTCACTGAACTCCCCCTTAGATCTGTATTTAGCCGAGCCAATTTCTCTGGCAGAACAGCAAAATGGGCAGTAGAACTTGGCGAGTTTGACATTCGGTATCAACCCAGGACAGCAATTAAGGCCCAGGTCTTAACAGATTTCGTCGCAGAATTTGCTCCCACCCAGAGTACCGAACCAGGGAACCCAAGTTCGGCACAGGTGCCACGCATCACCGAATAAGGAAAGCCCTGTGCTTCGGAAGCCTGGAAACTTTTCATCGGAAACATCTGGCAGCTCTATGTTGACGAGTCGTCCAATAACTGAGGTTTGGGGTCAGGAGTAGTACTTATCTTACCAGAAAGATTTATCTGAGAACAGGCTCTCAAGCTTGGTTTGAAGGCTTCGAACAACGAGGCAGAGTACGAAGCGTTGTTGGCTGGCTTATGCAGTGTCGAGCACTTCAGTACAGAACAACTTCTTGTTTTCAGCGATTCACAACTAGTGGTAAACCAGCTTTCTAGGGTCTACGAAACACGAGATGAAAGAATGGCCATGTACGCAGGCAAGGCCAAAGACTTACTCAAAAAGTTTTAATCCATACGAGTGGAACGAATTAGTCGGGGATAAAAACGGCCATGCTGATGCTTTGGCTTGTCTCGGCTCATCAGTGGATACCAAAGATGCTAGAAAAGTTTGGGTTGAGTTCGTGCCAGAGCCGAGAATTGCATCTCCAGTCCTCTGCAGCAGTGTAGAGCTGTCACGACCCAAACCCGCCCTTATGGGTTTAGCACCGTAACCGGCCAGTAATCCAAGATTACCGAAGGCCTGCTTAACAGTAATATAGTAAAACAGAGTACAGGGGCATGGCAAAAGCCAAAATAGTAAATAAACAATGTCTAATGAGCTGTGACAATCTGGATGCTAAAAAGACTTTCATACACATATACATGAACAGTACAGAATAGTATGTACATATATACAATCATTCAGTTCAGGGACCTAATCCCTATTAAACAGTACAGTGCAGTAAACAAAATGGTTACAGAGACAGAAGGCGGAACTAAAACACCCCTAAGCCATAACTTGACAGGCTCGGAACCTCGCAATAAGGCACAATGGTTGGCTTGGCAAAACTGGAGCTTACCCCGATGCTTCTAACCACGGTCTAGTGCCTGTACACCTACATATATATATATATATATATAAGCAGTGAGCTAAAGCCTAGTGAATAGCATAATGCGTAAAGAGGTTAAGAATGAATGTCCTTTCAGTATTGAAAATAGTCAGTTGATTTAGTATATCAGTCATTCAGTCATAACAGTCATATGTGGTACATCCATTAGCATAACAGTACAGTAAACAGTAGGTCGTAAAAGACCGAACAGTGAATGATGGCCATCAATCAGTAAACAGTAGTGGTTCTAACAAGGGAACCGACAGAGATCTCTGTAACAGTAACAGTAAACAGTAGTTGCTAAGGATGCCACAATACAGTTCAGAATATAGGACATACATTCATTCAATTAACAGTATCAGTTCAGAAAGCAGTACAGTTCAATTGTTCAGAAGACAATCATTTTGAACATATCTTTACACAGTTGTTACTCACAGAGTTCTGAGCTACAGTAGAGCTAGAGCGCATCCCCAGTCGCCAACCCTACACAGTTACAGATTGAACACGCACTAAGCTACACAGTTGGGAAAGATAATAACTTAATCCCTAATTTGCCTCGCTGTGTTCTACATCTATATCCTCATTAAGATGTCCTAAACTAGGCCTAAGAATGCCTAGGACGGGATGAGGATGCAAAAACGCATTCAGAAAACATTTTCAGAATTTTCAGAAAACAGAGGTCCCGCTCGAGCGTAGGTTTACCCGCTCGAGCGTACATGCAGACAAAGGTATTCGCTCGAGCGTATACTTTCACACTCGAGCGTTATGCAAAGCAGGGCAAAAGTACTGGTTGTGTGAAAATGACGCTCGATTGGGCACTCGACACCCGTTCGAGCATGAGACATAATGTCCCGCTCGAGCATCAATTATTCTGCTCGAGCGGACATCAAAATAGTGCAAAGTACTTGGAGCACGAATTTCACGCTCGAGCGCCAGTCACCCCGCTCGAGCATGAGTTCAAAATTTGGAATTTCCAGATTTGAACTTTCAAGCTCAAACCAAGTTCAAATGCATTAAACCAATTCCTTTGGGCCCTTTTTCCTGAAAAACATTTGTAAATACTTAGAATAACTTGATTCAAAGCTCAATTTGTAAAATCAAGGCCCAAAAGGAAGATCAATTCAACTCAATTTGAAACCAATTTTCATGAACATAATTCAAACATAACATGCATGAATTTAAACCATTTCAAAGCTTCAATTTCATGCTCTAATGAGCCAATTCTTCCAAGGACAAGAGCATTCTCTTGGGTGTTTAATTTTTTATTCACTTGGTAAATCTGTTAAATGTGTGTTGTAGCACTAGCATTGAGTGGTAGTTTTTTTAAATTGAATATTACTTTCTCGTGGGTGCTTAATTTTTTATTCACTTGGTAAATCTATTAAATGTGTGTTGTAGCACTAGCATTGAGTGGTAATTTTTTAAATTGAAGATTGCTTGCTCCCTTGATTTGCACACATAGTTTTTTACAGCAATGCTAGGTTTGACTGTTCTTAAAATATTTGTAACATGTATTCAGTTTCTTGGTCTATGTTTCGGAAAAACTTTTATATAATAATTTCACGTTTGATTGATCCTTAACTTGCCCTCTGTACATGTTCATGGGTTTTTCAATGCTTTACTTGCCCCTCGCTATACGGGTTCCACGGTAATCCATTCTATTTCATGTTCATAGTTGTTTCACAAAGTTGGCTTTCAATTTCAAACTTAGGTTGCTTGTTTATGCTAAAACAGGCTTGCCTTTTATTTGAAGTTCTGTTCTGTTGCAGCACTTTTGATTCTTATGGATTGGTTTTATTTATTGAAGGTTGAGTTCATTCCAAAATTTAGTGTGAGGACAATCTGGCAGAGATGGCGTGAATCATATCCGAAAGATGGGACTAAGGCGGATGATGCTATAATTGTGTTTACGGGAGTAAGTCGAGTATTTTATGGCATGAATTAAAATACTATGTTCTGTGTGGTTCAGTGATTGTTGTTTAGATTTGTGTGGTTCAGTGAGTATTTTATTTTGCATGCTAGATC